TTTTTCTTTTTGCTTATGTGGTGCTGAGGAATTGAACCCAGGGCCTCATGCATGCAAGGCAAGCTCTCTACCACTGAGCCACCTTCCCAGCCCCAAGCCCTGGGCTTTGAGTGGAGCATCAGTGGGATTTCTTAGTCCTCTGCTTCAGACTGCCTGCCACAGGACGGTTGTGCAAAGTAAGGGAACAGAGGAGGGTGCTGCAGGGCCAGAGCCCCTCCCTCCAGACACCCAAACCAGAGGCTAAACTCAGCCCTTCTCTCTCTCCTCACGGGCTGCGCCCACAAACTTCCTTTAAAAGGCTGAGCAGTAACTAGCTGAGGTGTTGGGGGTTGTGGGGCCCCCTCAGAGATCGTAATATGTTAGCAGGTGTCTGACACTGAACAGGATCATTGGACTGGTGACGCTGGTCATAGTTTGCCAGGCTTTGGGCTGGAACCTTACATAAGCTCACCTTAGGTTCTTTCTGCCCATTTCTAGACCATTCCTCAAGTTTCCAGGCCCCGAAGCCAAGTGAACAAGAAAACCTGCTTGGTAGAGCCTGTGGCCATCTTAAACCTCACTGTCTTGGGCAGGCCACTCGCCGGTGACCAGGTCTTAGGAAGTTGAGGGTAGAACCATGATGTTCTCATGGAGGCCACCGGTGTGTGAATTAGGGTCAGGGTGGGGCTGGGTAGATTCCCATTCTGTTCCACAGAACGTCCCGTTTCTGGCAGTGTGCGTTAAATGCCCTCTGCTGTTCCTAACCTGCTCACTTGGGCATCATGGCTCCCACTGGGCCACCATAAAGCCAGGCCTTTACCTTGAATGAATCCACCAACCACCCCTACCCCACCCCCGAGTTTCTGAGAAGTGTTAGGGCCCTGGGACCTGGCTACACATTTGACATCGACTGTCGGGCCACAGCAGCCTTGCCTGGCGCTCTGGACTGGGCCTGGTGAAGCAGAAAGGGGAGTTGGCCTCGAATCTGGCCATCCGAGGGCAGGTTGGCCCCCTGATTGTGCTCAGCACTGTCCTGCTGTCTTGTGGCCCTGGAGGCTCTGGGACAACTTTGTCCCCTTCCACGAGGCTGGGATCCCATCCACTAATGGCCAGCCATCGCTCCAAAGCGTTCTCTCCAGGGCAGCCGCTGCTGAGGGCCGTGCATGCTGGCTGTCTTAGGCTCAGAGGGCAGAAAGTGCTCTGGAAAGAAAAGGTAGTAAATCGTGTGGGCTTCCTAAGCCCCAGACCCTGCAGCTGCTCAGCTCTATCCTTGGGACATGAGAGTAGCCCTCTTAACAGGCAGATTGCAAAAACAGCGCTACCACCAGCTCACTAGCAGCACCTACTGTGTGCCACCACTACTTCGAGCGCAACCCAGCTCCTAACAGGCCTCCCTCGGCCTTCACGGCCAGTGGTGGGCCAGGCACTGTTGCCACCTCTCTTACAAGTGAGGGAGCCACGGCCCCTCAGGGTAGCTTGTCATCCGGGCCCCTGCATGCCAGCCCCATCTCAGAAGACTTGGCAGAGCTGCTGCTGAGCAGGGCGGATGTGAGGAGAGGCCTTCATGATAGAAATTGTCTGTGTTCTTAAACACCACCAAGGAGCAAAATTCCATGACTGATTCTTCCCAGAGCTCCAAGCCAAGAGAATGTGTCTGCCTGGCTGAACTTCCCCTGCAGCTGGCTTCCTCTCCACCCCCCTCCCAGCCCAGGACCCCTCCGGCAGGCCTCCCGCCGCCTCTCCTTGTCCCCTCTCCCCCCTCAAAGACAACCAGGGGTAGAGTTCTGGTCCTCCTTGTTCACACAGGGGGATTGTGGGTAGCCCTCCTTCCTCGACTTACCCTCCCAGAATCTCCGTGAAAACCAATAGCCGGCCTCAAGAACATCCCTTCCCCCGCCATGTGAGTGCCCCACACTGCCTTCTCTGGCGGTGGCTGAGCCTCGTCGGTTCTGGTGGCCCATGAGCTCACCTCTACTAGACGCATGCCAGAAAAGTCGTATGGGGCTGGATCGCAGTGAGGGGGATGGGGGAAGGGGAGGGGGGGGGGAGTCAGGATTCCTCTAGGCCCTTCCAAGCCGCCAGGCTCAGATTTTCCACTTGTGTGATTGAGGTCAGAGCCTGCATTCCTGCTGGCAGGCTCATGCGCATGTCAGCTCCGCCTGTGCAGGGCCCTGGGCAGGGGCCGCCGTGGCTGCACACTGCCGGCCTCGCTCCCCTCCTGGAGCTGCGCGTGGACGGCTGTCCCCACGAGCTGGCCTTCCATGGGCCACCGGGCAGCCCTGGCCCAAGCCCTGGCTGGAGGCCACCAGGATGAGATGTTGACTGCCCGTGTTTGCTCAGGCCTTGCGGGGAGTGGGGAGGAGGGGGGAGGAGATGTCTGTCTGGCCAGGCAAAAGGAACAGTGAGCTCACTGTGGCTCAGGAAGAGCATCACCCCCTTTCTCGCCGGCCTATCCTGGAGCTTGACACTGATACCGTGAGGTTTTGCTAGTGGTTGCCGCTGTCTTCCTTGGAGGCCAGGCTGGACGTGGTTGGGGGTTGGGGTGAAGGCATGCTTTGGCCTCCAGCACCCTCATTCCAAGCCTGCCACCTCCACTTTCGGAGCCATGGGCCCTCGCGAGGACATCTTGGCCCCGCCGAGCCTCGGTGTCCTGCCAGTGGGGCAGCGACACCGACACGGAATGCAGCTGTGTGTGTGCCAGGACGGGAATAAGTCCGGCCTGTGCGTGTGAGCATCTGTGCAGCGCCCCTGTCGGTCCTGTGGCTGGGCCGGAATCAGCCGGGGCCAGCCACCCCTGTTTGCACAGA